CGCAGAAATAAAGTTCTTTAGATTGAAGACATCTGCCTGAAAAAACAGATCATCAAAAAGGAATAAATAAAAGGCGAAGTAAATGCATATTCATCACAAGGTACCTATGAAGGAAAAAAAAATCTACTGCGAACTTGGCAATTATGATTCTCTATTACCAGGAGTCTGCTACAGCCAGGGTGGATTTGATTTAAATCACTAGTCAGTAAGGTTTGATTTAAATCCTAGTTTTCTAATAAAGACTAATGCAGGCCATAGATGGGTCGAAAATCGGCCGATTTCACTGTTCAACAGGTAAAAGGTTTTGGGCATAAAATTAGCTAATCTTACATAATTTTGGGGTGCTGAAAACTAAAAAGACCCTAAAAAATGTTGATTGGCTCTAGTTTCCATGATATATTCACCCATCTAATGACGTAAGCCATTCAAAAATTATGATGCAACTTCAGCTGCATATTGCGCAATTGATACTGGTGACCATATAGAAAATTGCATGTATACTGAGATGATGCAATATTAGCCTTTAATTGCATCACTTCACTGCATAAAAGCTGCAGTATCTGTAGCTGATTGTAGTTCGACAGCGTCTTTACATTTCGTTTTATGCTTATATAGGCTACTCAGTAATGCCTCGAACTTGTGTGAATAAAGCAGATAATTTCTGCTATATCTGCGGTGAAATAAACTTTTATCTCACAAAAAAGGAGGATAACAGGAATGATTAAGAAAGCCTACAACTTGTATTTTGGCTGCAAGATAGGAGACCAGGACAAGAGCTGGGCACCACATATATGCTGCAATTCTTGTGGGACGGCACTGGAGCAATGGTTGAATGGGGAAAAAAGGCATCTATGCCTTTCGCTGTGTCCAATGATTTGGAGAGAGCCAACAGATCATGTTAGTAATTGTTACTTTTGTATGGTGTGCCTCCAACCAAAGGTCTAAATAAGAAGAAAAGTTATCTGTGCACTATCCAAAAATATTCCATCGGCAATACGTCCAGTTTCCTCATGGAGAGGGGCTACCAATTCCTAAAGCACCAGAATCCTTCGTGGTTGAGTCAAGTGAGGAAGAACCTGAAGCGTGTAGTCACGTGCAGTTGTAAGAGATAGCCCTTTCCTCGAATACAAGAGAAAAGCCAAGAGAAGCAAAACCGACACAAACTGAAGACAAAACTAGTGAGAATCCTAAGTATTAAAATGATTCAACTTAGCTTATGGCTATAATTTTTCTTGGTAATCCTATGCAATATATTATGCCCATTTAGGCTTTGTTATGTAGTCAATATCACTTGCTTTATATTTGTGGAAAGACATCTATCTATATAATTATTGTGCATTATGTAGTCATTACGCCTATAGTAGAAAACTTTCCGTTTACAGAAAAAAACTAGAGCCAATTGACAAATTTCATTGTTTATATTTGAACTCAGAATGTGAAATTCATTAAGAAATGGATCCTTTTGTTTCCAAAACTGGCAAAAAATAAAAATTTGTTGAACAGTGTTTTTCATCCGAAAATAAAATCGGCCGATTTTCGGATCGTTAGTGGGCTATTTGTTTGGCCGTTTTTCGGTATTTTGGCAGATTTTTTTTTTTTATCGGTAAAGTTGGAAAAAAAAAAAAAAAAAAAAAAATCGGCCGATTTTGCCGATCTTCGCGGCAATGATGGGCAAATCGGCCGATTTTTTTACCGATAAAAAATCTGCACATGGGCAGGGAAGAGGAAGAAGAGGAAGAGGAAGAAGAAGAGGAAGAGGAGGAAGAGGAGGAAGAAGAGGAAGAAGAGGAAGAGGAGGAAGAGGAGGAAGAGGAGGAAGAGGAGGAAGAAGAGGAAGGGAGGAAGAGGAAGAAGAGGAGGAGGAGGAGGAAGAAGAGGAGGAGGATGAAGAAGAGGAAAGAGGAGGAAGCGGAAGAAGGAGGAGGAAGAGGAAGAAGAATGAAAAATAAGAGAAATTCCAGTACAGCAAAAAGTGTCCCTGCAGAGAGCTCCGCTATTTCTTTGACAGTTCCTTGACATTTACAGCGGTTACAACATTGTATATATTTGTTTTCGAATAAAAACATCTGTATCCTAAATGGATACAAATAGATACATTGTTGCAATCGCTATAAATTTCAAAGAACTGTCAAAGCAATAGCAAAGCTCTCTGCAGGGACACTTTTTGCCGGCTGTAGACGGGATGAAAATCGGCTGTTTTTTTACCATTGCTGGTAACGTCGGCCGCTTGAACGACCGATTTTTCATTTTTTTAAAAGAAAAATCGGCCGTTTTTCTCCCCGTCTATGGCCTGCATAATTCTTGCTGGTATAACTTTAATATACAAGTAGATGAAGATTTTTAGAATAACAACTTTTCATATTAGTTTTTTTATCCCCAGTTTAATAGGTTAATCATTCATATTTGGATAACTTTTCTGTTGTACTTAGGAAGGAGAAAAATAATCATTACCTCAATAATAACAATTTAAATAGATTTATTCAACTGAAACAATAACATTCCAGCATATGTGATTTGCTTAAACATCCATGTTTGTAACTAATTTGGCTAAACAAAATATATATATTTTAAGAAACTTAGACTGTCAGCCCCTTCCTCCTCACACTTAGTTTCACTTTCTTCTTGTGCAGATCTATTCCACTCCAAACAATCAGAAAAATATTCACTGAACTTCTTGAAACTTAGCACTGAAGGGGTTGATTCTGTATTCATAGGTTTGTAGAAGTTAGGATGAAGGTCTTTTTCTTAACTCTGTTCATGTTATAACATTTTTGCTGTGAAGAAGAGGCATGTGATCTCCGCTGAGTCAAATTCAGTTTTGAGAACTGCAAAAGTAAACCAATCATCTGTGATAATATCTTGTAGGCAGAGAAACTGCCCAATAATCTTACAAAAACCTCTGGAAGAGCCTGACATTGTGAATGGATTCATGGAATTTATTTACCAAAAAAAATTAAACATATACAGCCTTATTCTACATAATTAAAAAACAAATCTTTATTTCATGATGGAATAACCTTTGGATGGCAATATATTTTCCTCAAAAAGCATTTTATTCAAAAAAAATCTGATTTCAATTAAAAAAAAAAAAAAAAAAAAAAAAAAAAAAAAATCAGATTTTTTTTTTTTAAAAATCATTGATTTTTATCCACCCTGGCTACAGCCCAGGTGATACTAACTTTCAGTAATAATAGAAGCCAATGAGTAAAGAACTCACTGGAAAAGAGAAAAGTGTGGCTCAAAACACAATTTTTATTGAAAATGGCATAGCAAAATCAGCAAACAATGCCCTTCACCCAGCACAATAAAATCATGACAACTTTGCCATACAAAGAAACACCTGCCCAGGCACCCGGGTACACACTACACACACACCAGTATGATGGTAGACTATGGGACCCAAAAGAGGTCATATAGCATCAAAATAGTTTTCTTGAGGACTTCTTTTCCAGCGAGTTCTTTACACATGGGCTTCTATTATTACTGAAAGTTCGTATCACCTGGGTTGTAGCAGACTCCTGGTAATAGAGAATCAGAATTGCCAAGTTTGCTGTAGATTTTATTATATTCTGGTTCTGAGGACACCGCCCTGCGAGTTGAGTGAGTCGGCACACTATATATTTATTTATAGATTAATTGAATTTATAGGGGATCCCATCTGTGTTTTTTATCATTTCGATACTTACTCGGACCCCCGGTTCACATCTGCGCGGGTGGTGGCGCTGCGGATCCACATGAAAATCTGTGCAGCCGCACCACCTGCACAGAGAACGGCGGACCCGCGGGCGGGTACCATTAGTTCTAATGGAATGCCGCCCGCACAGGAAAACGTAACCGTACCGGGAACCAAGGTTCTCGTGCGGGCTGCGTTTTCCAAAGAAGTGCAGGGACTTCCTTCCCTGCATGTCACGGGCTCAGGAGTCCATTCAAATGAATGGGCTCACGTGCCCGTGCAAAACATGGCACAGATGTAAACCGGGGGTTAGTCTTTCAATGAGCCCAAGCGTTTACCCTACTATGTTTTGGATCAGGATAATGCAAGAAGAACTATGCTAAATGTAGTAATTTACTGCAACCAGTGACCAACTGCCTTGGGCTCAGACATTTGAACCGCAGTTTAAATCCCCCCCCCAAAAAAAAATAACTACCTAAAGAAGGGCATGCAATCACTTAGAGCTGTACACGCCATTGCTTCACAACTACAGCAAAATTTGGTGAGTGGTAAAACTCCCAAAACGCAACACATTAAGTGTAAGACGCTGAACTGCAACCTTGCATAATGCATGTAGCTGCAGCATAGTTGTGCGGCATTCACAGAATTAAAACAGGCAAGAAGGAGATATATATATATATATATATATATATATATATATATATATACATATACATATATATATATATATATACATATACATATATATACACACACACACAGTGGGGATCGAAAGTTTGGGCACCGCAGCTAAAAATTTGTATTAATGTGCATAAAGAAGCCAAGGAAAGATGGAAAAATCTCCAAAAGGCATCAAAGTACAGATTAGACATTCTTATAACATGTCAACAAAAGTTAGATTTTATTTCCATCATTTACACTTTCAAAATAACAGAAAACAAAAAAATGGCGTATGCAAAAGTTTGGGCACCCTGCAGAATTTATAGCATGCACTGCCCCCTTTGCAAAGCTGAGACCTGCCAGTGTCATGGATTGTTCTCAATCATCATCTGGGAAGACCAGGTTATGTCAATCTCAAAGGTTTTAAATGCCCAGACTCATCTGACCTTGCCCCAACAATCAGCACCATGGGTTCTTCTAAGCAGTTGTCTAGAAAACTGAAACTGAAAATAGTGGACGCTCACAAAGCTGGAGAAGGCTATAAGAAGATAGCAAAGCGCTTTCAGATGTCAATATCCTCTATTCGGAATGTAATTAAGAAATGGCAGTCATCAGGAACGGTGGAAGTTAAAGCAAGATCTGGAAGACCAAGAAAAATATCAGACAGAACAGCTCGCAGGATTGTGAGAAAAACAATTCAAAA